GGTATGGTTATACCCGTTACTTGCAAGTATTTTATTTGTTTGGGTAAATACCTTACTTGAACTGTAAAAAAATTAGATAAGTAATGGGTACGAAAATAACATATTTGCAAGTATCAAGTTAAGTAATAAATATAAAAGTTTAGAACTATTTACTTGACTTATTCAACTGTTTTATTTAACTAATATGCTATCGATTATTATTTTAGATTATATTTAAGTTTAGCTTGTAATAAACAATATTTTATTAAAATTTTATTAGTTTTATTTAAACTTGGATGGAAAGTAAATAATATTTTAATAAATTTTAATTTGAAAAAAATTTAAAACAAAATATCATTCAATAAGTATATAAGTGTATATCCACAAATTACTTGGTACATGTTGGATTAAGGACCCATTTGGTATAGTAGTTTTGGAACAGCGGTTAGTGGTTTTACTTAAATCATTAAATATAAGTGTCTGATAAATTTATATATTTTGAAACCGTTACAAATAAGGTGTTTAGTAAAAAATTTTTATTTAACAGTTTGAGATTAGCGGATAATGGTTAGGGTTTAAATCGCTAGTAGATAAAAAAAGTTAGTTTAAATAACTTTTTGTATTAAACTGTTAATGGATTGAAATTTTTTAATTTTATTGACAAATTTATTCATTTTAATTTTTAATCAGATTTTTTAATTAATATTTAGCTAATAAGTTTCAATTTTTTTTATCTTTAATAACATTAAGTGATTCCAATAATTTTATTTTTTGCATTAATTTATCATTAAAAAATATATTATCTTAAAAAACAAAATTTACTAATTAAACAAACTGATTAATTTTTTTATTTAAAAATAATATAATTTTTTCTTTGTTAAAAATAAAAATGAGGGTGTAATTATATTATTATAATTAATTTTATTTATTTATTTTCTTATTTTTTTATAAAATTAATAATTTTAATAATAATAAATAAAAAATATTTAGAAAAAAAAACTCTTAATTGTTTTTAAATATATTCTTATTAATCATTTAATATTAAATAACAACCACTAATTATTTATGACCAAACAGTTATATCTATCAATCCGTTATCTACTATTTGCTACCTACTTTCTACTATCCGTCACCCGCCACCCACCATCCATCATTTACTAACCACCACCCGCTACCCGCTACCCGCTACCTGTTATTTGTTAAATTTTAACTGTTATACCAAACAGGCCCTACATAGCAAGTAAAGGTTTTTAAGTATTTGGGTAAGTATCAAACCTAAAAAATTATGCTTAAAATTTTTTAAATTGAATACCAAATTTATCTTATATCTGATGTATACCCGAAAATGCTCATCCTAGTAAAAATCAAGCTAATCTAAAAAATATAAGATCCTAAATTAAAGTTGCATAATATGCATTTAGGGTAAGGTTTATTAAATCGGTTATCCCTCTTGAGGCCCACAAGTGCTCATCTGGGCTTCAAAGTGGTCTCAGGGAAGTGACCCATGGCCTCATACCCTTGCGAGTGTTAGATAGAGGTCCCTGGGCCTGGCTCATAGTTTTTGCCAACCTTGCCAACCTACCCTGCGATAATTAAAATAGTTTGAAAATTGTCAAAGACACTTCTCTCCCCCCAGCCGGCGCATGTGGTGTAGTGGTATCATGGTACCCTCCCACGGTACCGACCGGGGTTCCTTATTTTCAGTTTTGGAACTCCATCGACATGCACACAAGCTTATCGTTCTTTATTTTTGGTTAACAGCTAATATTCAACTGTTGTTGATAGTTATTATTTACTTGTTTATTTTATTTGTTTGATTACAATCAAACGCTTACATATGGTATGGTATTTGGTAAAATTTAAAAAATATTTACTTAAAAAATAAATTCTTATCGAACAAATTTAAAATTTTGTTTGCGTAAAATTATTGAAAGAAGAGGACTTACAAGAATAGAGGAAGACTTCAAGTTTAAATGAAATTGAATTTTATAAATTGAAAGAAGAGAACTTACAAGAATAGGAAGAGGACTTACAAGCGTATTTGATGAAGAACCCAGAATTGAATATTGTAAGTTTTTAGACAAGGCATTTGGTGGCTGAAATGACTTAAATCGAAACCTATCATCGACCTAACAACTTTTTGAATTAAGATTTATGTGTTATTAAAAGTTTAAATTTAAGTTGTTAGTAATGATTTTTCTCCACGCTTATTTACTAATTACACTCATACTTCTATTTCAATATAGGATTTGGAGTGTTACAATCTAGCGCATTTAAACATTTGATGTCTTTATCAAGAACAATTACAGTTTAAACTATATTTATAGGTCATGAGCACAAGATCCACCTCAAGTAATGTGAGATCCACATTATCACTGATTATGAGGGTTAATATGGATCAAATTTGTGAGAAATAACCATTTTGATATCGACTAAAGCAACTTGAGTCAAAAACTATTACTGCCCTAACAACTCTTATTAGTAGTAGTTAGTCTTTATATTTATATACCAATAGAAAAAAATAAGTTAATTAGTTTTTGTTCTTGATTTTGATATCTCAAATGCTCGAATTGCATAAACTAGTGTCAACATTTCAAGAATGGCTGCTGGTCTCATTTATCTCACCACATAACACACGCCCAATGTCATCATTTAGGACTTTTATATCAGAAAATCTTAAGTCTTCAACTTGCTCAAGGTAGCTAGGCGCCTTAGGACAAAACTGTGTTGAAGTAATGCCTCTAGCTCATACACCATTCTAGCTTTTTCTATAGTTTCATGCATGCTCAAATAGAGAAAACCCAACTTTTAGAGTCCACAATCCCTGACTTCACAACTCCTAAGCTGATGAGGACTGAATTTTAGCTGTCAATTGGTCCTTGAAAAACTACTAGGTATTTCCAGTCCCATATTGCTCTAATCACACATCCTGTTATTTTTCCCCCACACAGCATACAGGGGTTAATATTTCAGCTTTAAAGTAGGATATCTATCAATTTTAGGGGAGATAAAATAAGGAAAACCAAAATCAGTACCAGCACTTTCTTCACTACTGTTAAATAGTGCACTTGGCTCAAAATTCAGAACAGTGTATAATACTACTTTTAGAGTCTACAAGACATGTTATAGAGGATCACAAATGCTAAATAAGAAGCTCCCTCAAATTCAATTTTCAAACAAGAACTTTAGACTATATATTCCTCTATCACAGGGAAATGAAGTGCCATGGCATTAAAATTATATGTCAAAGTCTCAAGTCTCATATAAGAGAGGGGGTATGCAGTGGTACTGCATTGTCATTGGACGGACTCCTATAAAATCCTTGCTTCAAAGGGATGAAGGATTAATTAACCTACAATCTCTATTTGGCTACAACAAGGGAAGATGGTGATGGAACAAATAAATAACGACCGCCATGAATGTTTAACCAATTTTGATTATATCACTTGAGCATGAATAGAAAACATTTTAATATATACCAAGCCATCAACTGGGGTTAGAAAAACTGGCGTAAAAATAAATATGAGGTTAAAGATGAAGCAACCGAAAATCAAAGATTGGTAGTTAGATGCCACTTTCATGGGCCATTTTCCACATGCTATCAGTTTCCCCGTAACACCAATAATGTTGAGATTTGCAAGGATATAATGTCAAAATATAATTCAACGATAACAAGGGAAAATTTACGGAAAAAATAAATACAATTTCCAAAAAAAATGGGTTGCTATAATTACCACGAGGATAAAGCAACAGAAACTTGTGAAAATGAAGAAAAATATTTTTTGGATAAGCCAGTTAATTAAAACTCTTGTGTGGGTGAGTGGGTCATTGTATAATTTAAAATAATAATGATAATAGAAACCTCTTGTGTGGGAGAGAGGTTGAGGGAAACGAGAGTTTAAATTTTAGCTATGAAGATAAAGAAGAGTTACTTTATCAATAAATTAATTAATTATTTAACAAGTGTTTTTTAAAGTAGGTTTTTATTTACTACATACAATTAGTTGTTTATATATTCCATTGGAGAATGCATTCTTATAAATTTGTTTTAAGTTAGATGATATGATGTGTCAAATTCTACATTAGAAACTCAAAAAATATAAACATATTACTCCCTCTAACTCTAAAAATATTGTTCTTTAAATTTTTTTTCTTAAATTAAAGATATAGGAACAATATTTATTATTAAAAATAAAAAAATAATTAAATAAAAGAAATAGATAATGTTAGGATTAAAGTATAAAAAATTATTTGTTTATTTTTAAAAATAAAAAAATTAATTTGATATAAATTTAAAATAAAAAATAACAATTATTTTTAAATAAAAAATAAATATATAATTATCATAATGAATTACTATTAATAACTTAAATTTTATATTGAAAGGTAATTAATTCCGCATTTCAATAAGTTCAGCAGTGGGTGTGGGCCTATGTTGGCCATATCATGGAATGTTGCTTGCAAAGTTATGAATCTTGCATCACTTAAAATATGGTTAAAATAAAAATTTAAAATTGGAAATTTTAAAAGCCACGTAAATTTAGATGGGAAGTCTATGATCTTAAGATAGTGCTTATCACTTTTGTTTTTTTTTTTTTTTGAAGGAGTATAAAAGTAAGGGTGGGGGGATTTGAATCTTAATTTTTGGGTTGAGGAATACATTTTACAAAGCTGATTTATAATTATTGGGAGGCCCTTGTGTGAAATAGTGTTTATCACTTGATCTCAAAAATTTAGAAAAAAATTACTTTAAAATTATAATATGTTGAAATATATACTCATTTACTAATATTAGTATCACTTTTATTTTTATTTCTCTAAAAACATAATAATACATTAAAAATGAGATATGAAGCTTATTTAAAATTGAAAAAAAATATATAAAAATTAAAGCTAAAAATCAGAACTTATTACCATATTAAATATAACCCTAAAATAAATATTGACTTTTAAAAAAAGAAAACCTCCGTTTTTTCGACATAGTCTAGTTTTTATTTTGAACAAATGGTAGAAAAAATATAATTAAAAAATGCTAAAATGATAAAAATACTATTAAATTAATTTGAGAAAGTTTTATCAAAATATACTTTTTTTTAGTAAATTGAATGGTTTATTTTATAATTTAAATTATATTAAATTTAAAAATAAAAATTATTATGACAGTAGAGCTTTAAATATTAAATTTTTTTTATTTATTTAATAATTATAATTATATAACTTAATATAATTTAAATTATATAATATTTTTTTAATAATTTTAGTGAAAAGATTATACTTCTTTTTGTGCCGTACGTATAAAAAAAGTTGATTTATTTTTATTTTGACGGTGTCCATTATGCCAAAGTCCGTTTTTCAATTAATCTGAGGCAAAACACAATCTGTTTTCCGTTTCCCACGTTATTCATTAATTTATTCCCAAGAAAATTACTAAAATTCTTTCTTCGCAGCAAAGTAAAGAGCCAAACGCGGCCTTAAAGTATTGAACCAAGAAACGAGTTCCTTGTCTCTGTTCTGTCTCTCGTATCTTCGCTGTCTCATCAACTCGCGAGAGCTGACTCAGTGCGCAAAATGAGCCAGGAGTCGTTCATTTACAGCCTCGTGGCTCGAGGCACCATGATATTGTCCGAGTGCACCGAGTTCACTGGTAATTTCCCCGCAATCGCGGCACAGTATTTGCAGAGACTGCCTTCCTCCAACAACAAGTTCACCTACAATTGCGATCATCACACCTTCAATTTTCTTGTTGAAGATAGATACTATAAGTTTGCTCTGATCTCTTCTCTTTCATTCTCGTTTTTTCTTCTAGAAGAAAGCAAATGGGGTATGGAAG